TTTATCTTATTTTATTTTTTCCTCCCTTCCCCTATGTTGATCTGTTTTGTTTCTTAAATTCCACATGAGTGAAATCATATGGTATTGGTCTTTCTCTGACTGACTTATTTCACTTAGCATAATACCTTCTAGTTCCATCCACATCGTTGCAAGTGGCAAGATTTCATTCTTGCTGAGTAACATCCATCATATTTATATACCACATCTTTATCCATTCATCCATCAATGGATACCTGGGTTCTTCCCATATTTTGGCTATTGTGGACATTGCTGCTATAAACATTGGGGTGTGTGTGCCCCTTCGGATTACTCTTTTTGTATCCTTTGGATAAATACCTAGAAGTGCAGTTGCTAGGTTGTAGGGTAGCTCTGTTTTTAACTTTTTGAGGAACCTTCATACTGCTTTCCAGAGTGGCTGCACCAGTTGGTGAGGTCGCAGAGAAAGGGGCACCCTCTTAGACTGTTGGTTGGGAATGCAAACTGTTGTTTATTTATTTTTAAGTATAAATCTTATCTTCTCCATAAGATCACTGGGCTCTAGCCTTTATGAATTTTCCTTGGTTTGTAGCAATATGGTAAAACTCCCACTCGGAGTAACACCACTAATGGTTATCAATTTATTAATGAAAGTCTGATAGCTAACTTATTTTTCACAATAGAAAACAAATGTTTTTTTCCCTAAAAATTGTTTTATTCAGCTTGTTTTTTCATCTTAAATTTCACCTCTTGTCCCACTGAGAATTCCTGAAAACTCTGTATTGATTTTTGTTTCCCTTCACTGGAATTCCTTTCCCCTTTCTTTATAAAAAATTCAATTTTGTATCAGGTGGCAAAGCATGGAAAATCTATTCTTTCACTCAGTATTTGTCGAGTACCTTCAAAGTACAAGAAAGATGCAGACATACTGGTAGCTTAGGAGGGTTGTGTGATTATAGCAGGTGTTCTTAGGGCCACAGGAGAATCAAGTGCGTTTGAAGGCCTAGAGGATGGAGCTAGAATAAAAAAAAAAAAAAAAAAGAGAAACAGGGGTTTCAAGAAAGACAGTCTCCCCTTCATTGCCCAAGAAATTTATAACATTCTAACAGACTGAGGGTCGAACACCCTTAGAAACTACTCTTATTGGCTTGTGTGCACGCAGTGTGAGTGAGCAGTTGTAGCTGAGGCAGTCGCTGACCAGGTTTTACGCCTTTCCTCCTTGGGCTAGGCAGATCAGTGAGACCAGAGAATTCCTGAATTATAGAGAGCTGGCTGGCATATGTTAGATCAGCGTTAGATAAAGCCTAAAAACACTCCTGTTGGGTAAGGGAAAGAAGTGAAATATGGTTTTACAAGTAATTAATATCGGGGATTTGAAGGTTGAAAGCTATTGTGACAGTCTATGTTAATTGCTTCCCCCCTGCCATTTGGTCATAAAAACTCGTCCTTTACATGGCAATTTAGAAAGAGGAATCCTAAAAAGTGCCATTGGGATTGCTGTCAGATGATTGAGAAAGTCAACTTAGTTCTGTATATTTTACACACACACACACACTTAAGATGAGGCAAGCCAGAGAGAAAAATCATGCATGCCATTTAATTAGATTTCTTTTGGTTTCAAATAATCATTTTGATTCCATTCATAACTTTTGTGAACATTTGTTTTGAAAAAGTGGTTTGTGAACTGGAAACATAGTTCTTGTTTGTTTTCCAAGGCTGAATATAGCTTACAGAGAATATTCTCTGTAAGTTCAAAGAGTTTCTGTTAATTTAATGTCATGTGCCTTAAAAATAGAAAATCATATCCTGACATTTGCATATATCAAACATAGGAATCCCTGTTTGCTGTGAAGGCAGCACAGCTAATAGCAAGAATGTGAATTCAAGAGAGTTGTCAAATGCTTCCTTTTTCTATGAAAACGGGTGATGTCTCCATGGATGGAATATTGAGTATCAGTCAGAGACTTCAGAAGATCAGTTATTATTTGTTTTTTTTTTTTTAAGATTTTATTTATTTATTTGAGAGAGAGAATGAGAGATAGAGAGAGCACGAGAGTGAAGAGGGTCAGAGGGAGAAGCAGACTCCCTGCTGAGCAGGGAGCCCGATGTGGGACTCAATCCCAGGACTCCAGGATCATGACCTGAGCCGAAGGCAGTCGCTTAACCAACTGAGCCACCCAGGCACCCGATCAGTTATTATTTGGAGAACATCTTGATGACATTATCACTGATCAAAGAACAATAAGCAAGAATTAATTCTCTATTGATTATTTCCATTTTGCTTTTCTTTAGTTAGTAAAAATTTTTTTAAAAGCAGTTTTATTCATTGTACCCGGTAAGGGATTACTACTTTAAATAATCAGGAACTCTGGTGCCCCCTACTGGACAGGAGATCTAAACTATTATTTTACATGAGCTTTCATTTCATTTCTGTCTCTAGTTTTGTGAATTAGGCATAGCCCAGATATTCTGTCTCTCGTGACGAGGGCTTGTCTAGTGGCAAAACTAAGTGATGAATCAAAAATTCTGCATTTAGTTATACCTCCACGCCTCTACATTAGCAGCTCTGAAGCACGGTGGTATCGGGTTCTGTGAAGGCCTGACATTAGCTATCATCAGATGAACTCTGGAATGTTAACAGTAAAAACCCAAACAAAACCAGACCTGCCGGGGCAGGGAAATTTTACCTCTGATGCTTCTAGATAGCCCATCTGGTCCACTAAGAATGGATTTGAGGCCTTTTACAATTAAAATTCAAAAAGAGAACTTAATGGAATAAATACCTGCTTTGAAACTAGACACATCTGGGCTTGAATCCAGCTCATGCCCTTTGGCAAGTATGGACCTCCTCCGCCTTAGCTCCTCCTGCAACAGGAGGCTGGTAATAATCACCCTCCATGGAGCTGTTAGGAACTTGAAGTGAAAAAGATGTGAAAATGTTGCCCTCAGACTGGGAGCAAAGGATGTTAATACAAAGAAGACTATTACTGAGAGGAGTCTTGGTTAAGGAAAGGATTTGATTAAATCACAATTTTTCAGCTAATATGACCACAGGTTAGCTTGCCTAAAGTCTCTCAAGCCATTAGGCTCATTCTCCCTGCCTAAAATTCCCCTAATAATCACACAACACTCATACCTACTTGTTCATTCTTCTTTTTATTTTTACAAAGCATAGCAAAATGAGTAAATGGCTGACAGGTGAAGAGTTTGCACAACAGAAGACCACCCTGACCATCTCCTGATTTTATGGGCATCATAGGTGGGGAGGTGTTCCTCTAAAGTGATTTCATCATAGAAGAGTGATCGGAAATGGTTCTCATGGTGGGGGAGAAGACAAGAAATCAACATTCACAATTATTTAAAAGGACTTAAAAGCTAAACATAATATACATAGTAACTCCTTTATCCTAGTACAAAAATAGTGCCAGAAACTATATATTTGTTCAAATATATTGAAAAAGGTGTAAGAATACAAATAGATATTAACAGTGGCTAGTGATGATTCATAAGGTTTTCTTTTCTTAAACTGTAATAGAAATTTATATTTTCAACTATTTACACAGCTTTCAATGACATTTATTAAGACATGTTTACACAGGCTTTTGAGAAACATATGGAAGGGTGAAGTGAGCTTTAATACTTTCTTCCTTGCTCCCTGTAGGGGAGCAGAAGGGGTCCAAAACTGTGTACAATTTAACAATCTAAAAGAACTCTGAGTAATCTCTACCTGGCTAGCATATGGAAAAAAAAACTCTATATAGTAGAATACATGACTTCTTACATAAGGTGTTCTTTAAGCTATCAACAGGGTAAATGATGCATACTTGTAAGAAGACAGGATATTCACGGACGGATTCTTAGTAAGTTCCAGGTAAAGAAGGTCCTCGGGGGGGGAAAAAAAGAAGGTCCTTGGAAAACTGTATATAATACATATGTTATAGATAACAATGCAAGAGATATAAGGTACCCTATATTTTCAGGTTCAATTGGCAGGATCAGAAGCTGGTAAGTCTTTCATCTAGCCCTTTTTGCAGACGGTGGGCTCTTTGAGGTCACTGCTCTGTCTCCATGGCGGAGCACAGTGCCTGACGTTTCGCAGGGACTCAATGTAACAGTGGACTGTCGCATGTCTGAGACTGAGCAATTCAATTATACCACCTGATTGCAACTACAGTCATTCACAGGGGAGGACAGCAATTTCACCATTTCCTCTTCTCATCTTAAAATCACTCGTAAACAAAACAAAACAAACAAAACAAAACAAAACAACAGCACAGCTTGTGATGGCCTATCAAGTGTTAGGAGTAAAATCTGTTGAAAAACACAGAAAAATTGAAAATCACATTGGAATAGGTCTAACATTTGTGCTCTACGCTGAAAATAAAGGCACTTTACCGCTAGGCAAGAACAGATCTGTGACCAGTTTCCTCCCAGAACGCAAGATACCCAGTATATTTTCATACACTTCCTAATCTCAGTACTCTTATCTAAGGAAACTATTCTTCACAATTAAGAAATCAGTGGTGACAATATCACTCTCCAGAGTTTGTACCTTGAGGCCAGGTACTCAAAATCTCATACTCACTAGTGATCTGCATGAGAAACCAAATAACTGTATTGTGTTTTTTCAGTCTTTGAACACAGTAGGTGACACGTGGGATTAGATACGGTGCTCTGTAGCCCAATACCCCACTTCTGACAGTGATCTGCTGCCTTCTGTGACATCCTCCGTGAAGACAGAGGCTTTGCCCAAACATAACTCCTCTAGTAACACTTGTTCAGGCACACAGAGGTTAAGTGACCCCCACAAGTTCACACAGGACTGCGACTGGCGAGGGCCAATCCTGTGAAAAATATAAGGCCAGGCAATTTTATAGACATCTTTTAACAGCTTAGTAAAATAGTGGACACTTTTTGGGCTGAAAATGGAAATGAAATGGTATGTCATTCAGCTATAACAACTTTAATCTAGAAAAAGAACAACTTCTTACTAGTTATGGGGTAGTATAAATATAGAGCAGAGGAGGAAGGACTATAAATATACTTTTTCCAACTTGGGAAGATACTGAAAAATAATATTCACATAAGAACAAAAGCTTCGATTTGTGCCCATGTACCAGATAATCTATGTATGGAATGATTTTCCTAAAAAGTAAAAATTATTTGAACCAACTAACTGGTCTTAAAGAAGTACTCTTCTTCTATAAGAACTAAAACTTGCAACAATAGAATAGGCATGGCGCTACCCAACTTCTTTTAATCGTTAAACTAGAAAAGTAAAATAAACCATTATCTAAAGGTAAACCAAACAATTTCTAATCTACATAGATCTTCTTGCTTGTTAAAATGACACACATACAAAACCTCCATATATCTCAGTGACATATTAGATGGGTCTAAACAAACTACTAAAGTATATGATTACAGATTTTAGCATAACTGCTAAATCACAAGGTGTATGATAATAAGGTTACTAAAGACTGCTATTCTTGAAACAATTTTTCTATACTAAGGAATTATGTATGCATGCATAAGTGTATACCAGTATATAGATATGTTATTTTAGTGACAGCCTGTGTAATTACACACCAGTGCCACCAAGAGGCAACTTTATAGATCTCACCTATATGACATCAAATAAAAATCGAGTAACATCCTGAAAATACAAGTATTACAACAATTATACATATAACAACAAACAGTTGGTAACTTCCTAGACTAGCCTTTACCACTATAAAGTGATGACAATACAATTTGTTTTGCTTTTTTTTTTTTACCTGAATGGTAAGAATAAAATCACATTATGTAAGATTCACACTCAGAATTTTAAAAATGTAATGAATATGTTGAATTTTAGGCAGTTTAGAGAAAAAAGAATATGAATGGGAAACAATATGTTTAGTGAAAGTTCTTTGAGGATGCTGCACCATGTCCCCAAGAGATTTTCTAGCCAATTTAGTGATTGAAACTCAGAAGCTTTTTTTGGTGGTTAACAAATCAGACAAATACCTCTCTTCCTACTTTCCCTGAGTCCAAACATTTCCACATGTTTGGAACAGATTTTCCTTTCCTGAACCAGTTGCTTGATTCAGTATCTGCTTCTCCAATAATGAATAAATGTGTATTTAGGGTACACATGATCAGTGGGAATCCACTCAAATGGGCTCAAATCTAAGACAATGTTAACATTGTGCTAAATGTGCTAAAAGCTATGAGAAGTATCAACAACTCTAAGCTCAGGGTCAGCATTTAGTGCACACCCCCCAACTTCTGTGATTCTGAGTTGACTAGTCCTATAAATTGAAATACGGCAGTTTCTCAGATGCAAACTCAACACTCCTAAGTTTTATTCAGGCCTAAACTTTCTGCTCCCTCAATTTAATTTTTGACCCCAATATCAAGGATAGCCCTTTGCTGTTTATACAATTAAAAGTATTCTCTATACTTCCTTTGACAAAGAAAAATAATGATTCATTTTACCTTTTATCTGCAGTCATATCTCACCTCAGGTCAATGCTCCAATTATCACTTTTATTCTGTTTTCTGTCGAGACTTAAACTGTTCACTTATAAACTATGGTTTGTAAGAAAAACGAAAAGGAAGTTATTTTAAAAAGGAAGTTCAATATTCAAAACACCAACTCTCAGAAGAATCTACCAACAGAATGTTTCTCTTCACTGACAGACAGATATGGCCATTCCATTTCTGGATCACACCCATCCCTCAGTAAAGTCCATGACCATGAAGTCCGTGAAATCAGTGTCTTCTCCTAAGGTTTCTCCTGCTTTCCATCAGACAGGATAGATTGCAATGATTTTATGGGTAGTCTTCGGATAGACGTATGTACCGAAACGAAAGAGTTCTCCCCTTTGTGCTCACTAACAAAAACAGCAAATCAATTAAACAATACCTTTTCTTTGCAATACTGCCTTACAGTACTTGCCATTTGTTTCAGAGTTTTAACTTTTTATGTGAAGGTAATACATTGTTGACAAATATTATCCTATCCCCTTAAAATCCACTAGGCTAGCCCTTTTTTCTAACCTATGAAGGTTTTAAAAATCCTAGAATACATTCAATTTGCTCCTAGACTATTTTGGAGAATGAAAAGATTCCAAACATTCTTTAAAGGATTGGTAATTCAGAAAACACAAAAACAATTATTTAAAACCCCCAAGCAAAAAAACAAAAAACAAAAGCCCCCAAACTCCCCTGAAATAAAACAACAAAAAAACCACCTCAGAGCAAGAATTTAACTTGCACTCTGCAGTACACAAAATATCACAAACAGAGCTCTTATCCATGTGCTAAGAGTGAGTGGGTGTAGTTGATAATCTCAGATCAGTGGCATAAAACAAATATACAGAATATATGTAATAGTCCCCTAAAAACATGTCATGCTGTGCTCTTAAAAGTTGTGCAAAAATAAAAATACAGCAGTGGCAAAGTATACACTAAATCTGTACAGTGTATAGCAAAACTAGACATACTGCCGAATGTGCCATCTGTAAACTTGAACGCGGCGTGAACGGGCCGCTCAGTTCCGCTTGGCCTGGCCGCTCTCTCCGTTAATCAGTGTTTTCTCCTGCTGTTCTGCGAGACCCTGCCATTTTTGCCTGTTCTTTCTGCAGCCATCCAGCAAAGGGAAACAGTCCTCTGATACGTGGGTCAGGGCCTAAAGAAAGAAAAAGAAAGCAAACAACTAGAAGGAGTCCAGGAAATAAGCCCTCTCGCCGGGCCCATCCCCAAGGGCCGCAATTTCACACTCACTTCACCAGCAGGGCCACTGTTGGGGTTTTTAAAAGCTCTGTGAACAAATATGCAGACCATTTATGATTGAATTCTCTTAATTGGTACAGACAAGGAGTATGTGCCGGGAGACAGAGCACACACATACATTCCGAAGGAACCTTATGGAGCTATGATACAGACAGATCTGTATAGAACCCACTTTGCAGGGAGACGATACATTTTGTTCTTTGGTAGTACAGACGGCTCTGCCGAAGTGTGACTGCATCAGGAACTGCTTAGTTTTTGTGTTTTTCTATAAAATAGTTTTATACAATGCACTTAAGTAGACTTGTATCCAAGATCATAATAAAGATTAATTTATAATTCTGCAAGGTATTATTACTTACCAATTGTAGTGCCGCCCATATTTAGATACAAAAATGTTCACTGCAGGTTTCTTTGTAATAGAGAAACCCTGAAAATAACTTTAAATACCCAACAACAGGGTTAGGTATACTATGTTACTACTTCGCAGCTTTTAAAAATATCACAGAAACACACATGACATGGAAAAATATACATTAGGATGTATTATGAATTACAAAAAGCAAATTTGCTAAGTGAAAAAAATGCAAAAATTTCATAAAGCATATACACTAATATATTAACAGTAGTTGTCTGAGTAGTGGAATTATAATTCTCTGAGTTTTCTACAATGAGAACATTATAACTTCTGTAATAAATAATAGTAAAAGTACGTATCAATATTACATAGAATTTAACAGCAGATTCAAATGAAGTAAATCCATGTATACATATGAAATGTAGGGGGAGAAAAAGTCACTGAATTGTGAAATGCCTGGATTAGAAGATTCCAGGGTTTCTTTGAGTCTTGACATTCTATGATAACTCTACGATAAATATGGTTTTCCCAAATAATTAAAACTTAAAAAGGTAGTTTCCTATTTAAACTTTAGAAACAAGGATAGTGTCTACTTTCTGTACTTTGGGAATAAGCATCTAAACTAGCAAACTGGATGTTTTAGGGAGAATATCTTTACCTAAAAAATAAAAATCCCAAGCCAGCAGGTGTAAGGAAATGGGAACTTGTAATATTTGTCCAGCTATCTCCTTTACATCCTCATAAAAATTTTAACAATATTAAAGCTACACTATACAATGAGAAAAAGTTGGGTAATTTTTTTCTTTACTTAGGCCTAATCTTAAAAGAATATGCTGACATAGATTATACACAGTATCCCTCTTGAAGGTAACATTGACATATAATTCTTTTTAGTATTCCTACATCAGTTTGCTAGAGTCTAGCACAGAGTAGGCACTCAACAGACAGTTATACACTGATGAATTAAAGTTTTTGAGAAAAATCAAATATAAAATTTGTTCTTTATTCAATGCAAACAGCATGTTCATCAGAAAAAAAAAAAGCCTACTGTTAATCGCTTCAATTTACTTGAGGTTTTAATTCGTAACACAGTCTAAGTTTAGCAAGTCTAGTGTTTCCATATAAATACCTCATATAGTTGCAAGCAGATGGCATCTATGAACCCAACTTGCATACTTGGGATTTTGTTTTTCTTCTCCCTGTTCATTAGATCCTGAAAATACAAACACAGAAACAGACACACACACACACACACACACACACAAATCTGCATTTACTCAAAGAACACAATGCAAGTTGGCTCCAAAAACATGAATCACTGGGTTAGCTGAGGAAGGCCAGACACTTGCGTATCTGTCTCCTTCCTCCACGAGTCTCCTGCACTCCCTGCCAACACCAGGCTCAGGGAGGCCCTGATCCTCTCTGCCTTTTTCATCCTGGCTGACTTTTCCCACACTACCCCTGGAATTGATCACTAATCTAGAAGTCGACCGCTGACCTAGAGTCGACCACTGACCTAGAGTCGACCACTGACGTATATTTGGAGAACACACAGCTTTGAACTGTCTATTGATGGGGAATCGAACACCCTCAGCTTTGTGGAAGAAGCCACTGAGGCCACAGCTGATTACAATTAAATTCTCGAAGAGAGCTTTCTGAGTGACGATTACGCAGATGTCACTCTGCTTATTTCCAGGAGGTCATGGCTCGAGCACCAGAGGATCCCAGCACCCCATGGGAAGCAATGAGTCTGTCTCTGTGCTTGCTTAAAACGAAGGAAATTCCCCATTAGCCATGATCATCACTCTGCTACCCACCACTTTCTAAGAAGATTCTGAGCCTCTGAATGAGCCTACCATTACATTAGAGGACAAGGAGTAATTGTGAAAGACTAGTGAGACACAGCATGTCCCCAGCTGAGGCTAAAGAGCGGAGTGGATAGAACTGTACAGAGGGGCGGTCATGACCATGTCCCATTTAATATGGGCTCAATAAATGTCCATTTGAATTGAAAAAAAAAAGACTCTATGCTTCATTTTCAGGAAAAACTCATTCCAAAAAAGCCAGAAGCGGTTTGAGAAGAATCTTTTTCTTGTCTATGAGACTCTATGTAAAAAAGGCAGTATGTATCAAAAACCTTTAAAAATCTGTGCCCTTCAACAGAGCAATTCCAGGAATTTGCCCTAACAAGATAATGAAAACTGCCACAGAAACATTAGCAACACGGACGTTCATCGAAGTGCTACTGGTCCTAGTGAACATTGCAGACATGACACCAAAGGAAGTAGGTAAACTATGGCTCCGTCTATTTCATGTGATCATTATAAATAATATACATAAGAGCCTCTCTTAGAACGAAAATAGGTTACGATATTTAAATAGAAAAAACAAATTACAAAAAAGTAGGTACAATATGATAACCCAAGGAGTCTTTTTTGTCTTCTTTTATTTGCTTATGTTTTCTGTAATAAATATGTATAACTCTTTTCATAAGAAAAATGTTTTAAAAACTAAAATGAAAAGAAATTGTGTTCCTAAGATCCCATAGAAAGTGTAAGAAGTCTACCCTGAACAAGTGTATTTGAGTAATTCCTACCAACAAGGGCTCATACTTACAGCAGGCTCTATGTTGAGTTCTTTTCTCTCTCTGTCTCCCTGGTCAAAAAATTCAGTCGCTACAAGTTCTGCTATCTGAAATAAATAACCGATTAAGTTTTGGCAATTAAAAGCACACAACTCTGTAATATAGAGACTTTGAATAAAGATAGTAAAATCTATCAAAGCTAGCTTTCAACCACATCAGTAAAATGATAATAAAACAATAATGAGTAATAGAAATTATTATTTTATTTGCTTTTAAATATATGCCTAATCACCAAGCCTAGAGTTTATAACCTGTAATTAGGCAGAAAAAAGCAACATATTATTTCAACTTCAGCAATCAGTGGGGAAAAGGTAGTGTGTGCCCTTCTGTATGCATAATCAATGAGCTATTTGTTAAGCACCTGTTATTCCAGGTGCTGTGAAAACATAGTATCAGTATAGGGGCATACATGGTGATTGATTGATATGCCTTTTAAATTTATTTTAATCTACATGGTCCTCTTCTTTTCAAAAATTTTCCTTATAATTTTTGTTGTTGTTGTTAAATAAACTGGGTTGTTTATCCTGCAGTTCCCCACTATCTGGATTTTGCTGATTGCATTCCCATGATGTCATTTAATGTTCCTCTGTGCCCTGTATTTCCACACACTGCTAATAAGATCTAGAGGCTTGATTAGATAATTTTTTTTTTGACTGCTTCATAGGCAGTGCTGTGTACTTCCATCAAGAGCCATATAATGCCTGGCTGCCTCTCTTTTTGTGATATTAGACACCATGAATGATCTTTGTCTAGATCCACTAGTTCAGGGGCTGCAAAAAGGTGATATTCAAAGCGATCATTCCTTTTTCTTTTATTAGTTGAAATACAATAAAAAGAAAGTTCCCCTCATCAATTATTTAGTTACCCTAAAGCACAATTCATATAAGAAAAGCAGGAGAAATGTTTGATTTTCTCCACTTTAATTACCATTTGAAAAAAATAACTTGGTTCCCAAGTAATTATCAAGGATGACCAGGGAAGGTTTTGTTTTATTATTATTATTATTTTTTAAAGATTTTATTTATTTATTTGACAGAGAGAGACACAGCGAGAGGGGGAACACAAGCAGGGGGAGAGGGAGAAGCAGGCTTTATTACTTTGAACTTTTAAATTTAAACATAGTTAATGTATTTCGATCCTTATTGACACTCAGATTGTCCCATTTTGCCAGTGGGAGCTTAATAAGTTGGCTTTGCTGTTCTTTTGACAAAACGCCACCAGTCTTTGATAACTTCCCCTGCTTTCCCGTACAATAAGATGTTCTAGGCTCATTTATTCATGTCCTGCTTTAAAACTGCTATCAGCTGTTTCTTTTTGGAGCCCTTGTTCCTTTAAATTGAGGTACTTAGAAATAATTGGTCATTATTTTTAAGCTCTTTTATTAGACGATGGAGCTAGGACACAACAGAAGTTCATACAACATTTCAATTCAAATTCAGGACTACAACATTTCCGCCCAACCTTATCCACCTTTATCTTTCTGCTTACACTGATGATCCTGGCTCTCAACAATACCAATGCAATTTTTTTTATTTGCTTTTATCCCCCATCATCTAAAACAGTGATTGAGTATCTATGAAAAATTACCACTAAGAGTAAGATTACGGAAAACAATTTTAAAGCCTTTTGTTGGTAATTCCTTTTTGTTTTTAGGGTACATCCCCACTAGAGATACATGGTCAAATTATTGTTTTAATGTCACTTGGAATGAAATAGTTCCTTTCAGTATGGTTTTGCAAGCCAAATCAGGTTTGTTTCATTTTACTTTCAAGGCTTAGGGATATTTAAAATTCAATTTTATAATTTTAAAAACGATTTACATGGTTCCAAAGTTAAATCTACAAAACTAGTACACGCAGCAACTCTAGCTTCTACTTCTGTTCCCTAAGTCCTATTTCCTCCTTCCCTTATAGGGAATCATTAACTTTTTTGTGGTTAATCCTGGGTTTTTAAAATATGAAGCTAATATGTACATATATTCATATTTTACCCTCTTCTTAAATAAATGGTAGAGTACAATATACTTTCTCCTCTACTTTGCTTTTTTTGCTTAAAAATACATTCTTGTAATCACTCCATAGTAGTATACAGATAATTCTCATTTCTTTTTACAGCTGCATAGAACTCATTATGTAAATGTACTATAAGTTATTCAGTCAGCACCCTACCGATGAGCATTTGGGTTACTTCTGGTCTTTGACATTACAGATAGTACTAAAGTGAATAGTCTTGTATAAATATCTTCTTATATTCTTTCCAGCATATCTTTGGGATAAAATTCCTAGAATCAATGGTACATGAATATATGTATTTATAAACTTCCAAAGAGTTACAGTATTTTGCATTCCTTGTTTTCCCTCAACTTCCCCAACAGATAGATCATAAAACCTTTGAATTTTGCCAACTTGACAAGAAACGGTACCTCAGTGGTTTTTTTTTAATGAAGTAGAATTTACATTCTGTGAATCGCACAGATCATGAGTTCACTGTATTGACAAATGCATATAACCATGTAACAAATATTCCATTCCAAGAAAGAGAATTCTTCTATCACCCCTGTGACCCTTCTCAGTCAGGTTCTGCTCCTTCTTTCCTCCCTCCTCTCACAATCACTATTTTATTTCTTTCACCAGAGATTCGTTTTGCCTAGTCTAGAACTTCATATAAATGGAATCACAGGACGTATTCTTTTGTGTCTGGCTTCTTTTGCTCTGTATAGTGTTTATGAGACTCATCTGTGTTGTTGCGTGTATCAGTGGTGAGTTTCTTTTTATTGTTGAGCAGTACTCTACTGTGTAAGGAATATACTACAATATGTTTAGCTATCCTCCTACTGATAGATCTTTGGGTTGTTTCTAGTCCTGACTATAGTAATCTCCCTTATCCACAGTTTTGTTTTCCATGGTTTCAGTTACCCGGGGTTAACCACGGTCCAGAAGCAGATGATCCTCCATCTGATATATGGTCAGAAAGTCAACAGCAGCCTAACACTACATCACAAGGCCTATATCATCCACCTCACTACTCTCAACTTTATCATCTCCCATCATCACAAGAAGAAGGAGGAGAGTGCCATATAAGAAGAGAGAGAGGGAGAGAGAGACCCCTCCGTCATATAACTTTTATTATAGTATATTGTTATAATTGTTCTGTTTTATTATTAGTTATTGTTAATCTCTTATGGTGCCTAATTTATAAATTATAATTTGTAATTTAATTTATAATTTAAAATTATAATTTATAATTTATAAGCTTTATCATAGTTATGTATATATAGGAAAAAACATAGTATATATATATATATATATATAGGGTTCAGTCCTATCTGTGGTTTCAGGCATCCACTGGGGGTCTTAGAACATGTCCGCCATAGATAATACTACTATATTAGGAATACAGCTGTTATGAGATTCTATACAAGCTTTTTTGTGTCAGTCAAGTTTTATTTGCAGTTTTTCTTATGAATGAGGTTCTGAGGACCTCTGCAAATGAGTAAGAGCCATTTACATTCCGTCAACTTTTTGTTCAAAATTTTGGCCCATTTTTCTGTAGCGTTCTCCTTTTTCTTTTCTATTTTCTACAAGTTCTTTAATATTAGGTGTATTAACTATCAAATATAAGTTGCAAATTTTTTTTAGATTATTTATTTATGTATTTGACACAGAGAGACACAGCGAGAGAGGGAACACAAGCAGGGGGAGTGGGAGAGGGAGAAGCAGGTTTCCTGCCGAGCAGGGAGCCTGATGTGGGACTCGATCCCAGGACCCTGGGACCATGAACTGAGCCGAAGGCAGATGCTTAACGACTGAGCCACCCAGGCACCCATAAGTTGCAAATATTTTTTACCAGTTTCTCATTGACTTCTACTTTGCTTATAGTGTCTTTTGCCATACAAAGTTTGCTTTATTTTTTCATTTTTATGTAATCAAATTTATCAATCTTTTCCATTGTTTTTGCATGTTGAGGCATAGTTAGGAAAGTTTTCTTACTCCTAAGTTATAGAAGAATCCATAGATGTTTTTATTTAGTACTTCTATGGTTTAATTCTCTACTTTGAACTCTATGCTCCATTTGGAATTCAAGTGTGCAAAGTACATCCAATTTTGTCTTTAGCCATCTGGTTATGGAAGATGGGAAAGTCACCCTAAAATTATTTCATAAAAAGTCCCTCTTTTCCCCCAGTTATTTGAAATGTTATCTTTATTATATACTAAATGTTCTATGCAATTCCCAATGCTGAATTTTGTTCCACTGGTCTGTCACTGATACCAAACTATTTTAATTATATAACTATTAAATTATATAATTTAAGTATTGTGTTTTTTAATGTCTGGACCCCCAACCTCATGGCTCTACCTTTTAATTATAGAACTATTTTAATTCTATAACTATTAAATTATATAATTTAAGTATTGTGTTTTTTAATGTCTGGACCCCCAACCTCATGGCTCTACCTTTCTGGGATCTGATTAAGAAGAAAGGGTAAATGAAAAGACCAATTCTTCCCTCTACCATCCTCTTCTCTCTTTGGAAATGGGCAGATAGTCCCATTTATTACAGAGCAGGACAGTGTGTGAAGACCACCTTTCCTGAATGCTTACAGCACGGTACAGCTGTGGCACGTGGAGGGTACATTTCTGATCTTGTTTTCCCAGTATGTGTGTTTTGTAGGATGAACCTGTCACTGGGCTCCGTGACTATGCAGTGCCGAGCCCTGACCAGCAGCAGACTGTCAATAGTCCTGGGGAGTGCATTTAGGATTCAAAATGCAGTCTCAAAAAGCAAAAACACAATATACACATCATTGTATGTACAGCCATCCCTTTTCTGAGCTGAGGGCCTTTTACTGCCTCGGCAAAATGTTTTACGGCAGTTACTTATTTAGAGAGAAAGATATATTTCTAGCCTTCCAGCCACAGGCCCTGATCACATCCTTCCTGACACCTTATATCAACATTTCCTATATTTATAAGCCCCAGGAAATGTTTAAGTTCTACTCATTAATGCCTTCTTAGAGCTGAGGTATAGCCTGGTAGGCTAACCATAAAGAAAAATCATAAAAAGAAAAATAACTCGCTGCTTCTATTTTTCAAGGTTATTTAAGGTTATGTGCTAAAAACATTCCTAAGTGAGCCAGAAGTACTGGAATTAAAGATTATCAACAGCTAGATTTTTGCTGTGTTAATATAGATGCTCTCTTAATATATCTTACAGATCTTAGTAAATGCTAAGGAATCTTCTAAAAAAGAAAACCTGTTTATGTCCAATTATCTGCTTTTAATACCACTTAAAAATTAGATAAGAAGTTCCACAAATACTTCTGAAGCCAACTTTAGAATACAGACTTTTCTTCCTTTGACTTTTTAATCCCTGCTTTTACTGTCAGCAAGCCACATACCCGTTGTTGAATAGGCCAGGGTTTGGTAATGGCAGAGAGATCACAAGCTGTCATCAGCATCGCTCTGTTAAGGGAAGAAGAAGCCCAAGGCTACGATTTACTTTTTTACGCAAATATATACTCTCAGTAAATAGTTACTGGTAAAAAGGTTAAATTAAAGCCCCCTAAACTATGAAGACAGCAGCTTATAAAGACTAAAGAAACAGAAACAATTTCTTTGGAAGTGTGGCTGATTCAGTGATAGCAGTGTCACCGTTTTGGTTGCCCATTGAACTACTGGAATTTGCCCTAAAACTTCATTTAGCTCCAGATTGGCACGGAGAGAGAAATCACTAACCTCTGGGCAAAAACTTGCCTGCTGTTACTATATTTTTTCACCCTGGTATCCCATTCCCAGTGATAGTAAGATGAAAACACACTGACTACTAATAATTAGCCATTAAAGGATAGCATCAGATATCCTACTGATGGAAGTCCTAGGAGAGCAAGAATTACGGTGGCTCATCCCAATGCTGAACTCGGCACACGTAGTGACGTCTATGTGAAAAGCTCCGACTTACAAACAGTGTCTGCCAGAGAAAGAGGGAAATGAGAGGACAAATTTCGTCTTTCTGTTGTCGAGAGAAGTGAAAACAGGCTGGACTCTGGTGTCGATGACAAGGTGCTCTAGAACTCACTAGCAGAACTATCATACGACAATGTTCTGTACTTAGCGCAGTGTTTCCCATGTTGGATCCAGATGCCTGTTTGTAATAATTTTGTTTGAAGGAACAGGCAGAAAGGCCATCACTGTAATACAGAAACACTTGCAGGGAAGGACTGGATCCCTCGTCCCTGCAGGGAAACCCAACCTAAACGCATGTTCTCCTTAAGTATGTGAGGCAAAAAGAAAGTGGTTTTCTGCTGCTATTTGACCTCTTTCCACCAACTCTCTTGGAGAAGTGAGTGCACCAGAGATATTTTTAATCCCTGTGTAAACCCACTGTCATGAAGGATTTCAGGGCTTGCTAGTATAAACTGCCTGCCCCAAAGAAGACTATGCCCCTCAGTGAGCTTCACTAAAATCTGAGAAATGAGCGTGCCTGGTGGCACTGAGCTCTAGAGCTGTGAGGGCTTCTCGGCAAGTGGTCCCTCGGGTAGGACTGAGCGGCGGGGATGGGTGCAGACTCGGAACTGCGGCTGGATTTCTTTTCTGTTATTGGGATAAACTGTTCACTAACTACAGTAGCATGTCTATACTTTTCTTTTTTTTTTTTTTTTAATTTTTATTTTTAAGTAATCTCTACACCCAACGTGGGGCTTGAACTTATAACGCCGAGATCAAGAGGCGTGCTCTACGGACTGAGCCAGCCAGGCACCCCTACACATCTGTACTTTTCTAAGGGACTGTTATGAAAAACATTTTGAGGCTACGAAGTCAAGCATGATTACGCAGAACAGAACAGCCGGGCATTTGCGTGTTGTTTCCTTAAAATTTGCATCTTCGTTTGAATGCTAAGTAATATCAATCCATTTAAAGAAATGTTGATTTCAAAATTGTAATAGCACTCTCCTTGGTGTTCTGAGTCATTCTTTTCTTTATGATTGGCTGCTTGTTCTTTGTTATGGATCCAGTTCTTGCCATGGCAAAGGCAGGAATACTAACAGCAAAGGGATGGTATCTGCAGCTAGAAGGAAGGGACAAGGTGTACAGGGGAGGAAAATGGAAATTTTGACGTTCTGACTGGGCTACTCTGCCATCACTCAAGAGAAGTAAACACTTCACCACCACCTTCTTGTTCCCACAATCTTTGGGATGCTATTTTCAGCTGTTCCATTCCAAAGAATTGGGAATATGAGCAAGGGAACCTTAGAGCTTTGTATTGATATTCCACCACATTTTAAAGGTCCTTCTAGGACAAAGGAGTGATTTATTCACTTGCATTGGCAAATGCATTTCTTTTCAAATAAATATTCAGATTCAGCCCTTTATACAACACTTTAGAGAATTCTAACAGCCTCTAAGATCATCCCATTGTAACAAATAATTGCAATAAAATCTGATAGTGATAAAATTAATTGGGTAGCAAAACTTCAGCTTTAAGGACAATAAACCTACTTACAAAAACAACTCTTTTTGATGAGGATCTTCCAAGTTGAATTGATTTTTTCTTAGAAGTTCAAAAAATTCTCCTCGTCTCCTTGAAAATAAAGAAAAATATTTGGTAGTTATGATGAGCCCCCAGGCTCTTATTTCTTTGGTTGACAAAGAGAGTAAATTTTTTTGGAAAAAAATCTCTAACGGTTTTTTCCCATGTTAGAATCCAATACAGAAATCATCATTTAAAAAAATAAAAATATCTCACTTTCTTCCCTTCCATCATTTTCTCTGGGTAAAACGGATTATTTTTAAATTTAAATTAGTTTTAAATTATTTAACTATGGATCAGAAATAATGGTAATTTCAATTCTTTTTATTATTATTATGTTATGTTAATCACCATACATTACAGCATTAGTTTTTGATGTAGTGTTCCATGATTCATTGTTTGTGTATAACACCCAGTGCTCCATGCAGAACGTGCCCTCCTTAATACCCATCACCGGGCTAACCCATCCTCCCACCCCCCTCCCCTCTAGAACCCTCAGTTGGTAATTTCAATTCTTAAACATGATTTTAAAAGAAAATGAAACAATACAAGTTAAAAACCTGATGCCAAGAATGACTTAAGAAATTTTAAGTGTATGGCATAATCAGATCTATATGGCTTCATTTTAATTTCATTTATCTTACACATTAGGGTATAGGGTAGAAAAATGTTCATAACAATTACTCTATGTCAGTATAAATTGGCGAAAGCCTTCTGAAGCAAAGACCAAGTAAAGTGTCCACTGATATTCACTCTATGTGCCCAGCACCATTAAGCATCTTGGGAAGTTATAAGGCATGAGTCCTTTGGACAGTGTTTAAAATCTAGTCGGAGACACAAAACAAACATAAGAAAAACTTATATAACAAAACTGACTGTACGTGATTTGAGTACCAAAACTGAAAAATAGGTTTTTCATAAGGGTTCAGAGGTGAGACCCATGTGGCCTGGAAAGGCTGGGAAGTCTTTGTGGTTACAGATATTTTTAAAGTCTTGGTAATCTGATAATCTTAACTCTGCAATCATTTGAAATCGACTAAAGTTTGCTGTATTTTCTTTTACTCTGATTAAAGTGCTCCAAAACCCAATGATGCGGACCCTTTTAGATGTGGTTACTTTCAGATGTACAATAGTGGAGGTCTGGAATGTGATGTGTGACTCTTTGTTTGTTTTTACTTCTCATCAGAGTGGTTAAAGCCATGGATGTGAGTCTCTGTGCAGAGGGAGAGAGGGTTGGGCTTCACGGAAATCCCATGAGGGTGACCACCAGACTCCCCTCACTCCTACATGTGCAGCAAAGATCTCGGTCGGCTTGTGGGAAACCAATACCTGCCCAAAGGCAGCTAAGGCTTTTCTCACTTCTAGAAAGGCAGTTTAATTATAAGCAAATGCATACACGCATGGCAAATACTACTCTAATGCACACTTTAATTTTTGAGTCGGTAACTTCACTAATTAAAGTTCTACATTAATACTCTTCTGCCAGAATCAAATAAAAAGAAACAAGATTTACTTCTCTGGCACTTAGCTCCTTTTCTTGCCCACCTAGGCTTAGATTACAGTATAAAGAACTGTAACATGGTCAGAAGCTGGGGGAGTGAAGGAAAGGAGGAAAAGCAAACAGGCTATATGACCTTTAGGTTGCACAACCTAGCTTGCAATGACCATGGGATGGTAATTTACTTTGTACATAGCTTCAGAGACATAGCAGTAGATCAACAGCACAAATAACTCTGTGTTCTGTAACTTCTAGCATTAAGTGGTAAGTCAAAGGAGGAGACTTTCCTGGCTTCCTCTAAGAAACCATTCCATAGGTTGAAAAACAAGACATTTGACTTGCCAGGACATTTGTCTTTATAATCTAAAAATTTCTCAACGTGCATTTTAAAAGTTTGGGACAATGCAAACACTTCCAAGACCTATTTATCTCAGAATATTTCTCAAAACTTACTTAATGTACAGTGCTAGGTCTGTAGCTAAAATAGCTTGCTTGATCATTTTCAACGTGGTCTTATATTCTTCAATGGAGAGGCCACTGAGGATCTGATTGCCCTTTATAAAAAAGAAAACCATCATTAGCACTCCACCTGGAGAAGCTGCTGACAAGAACAAAATCTGAAGATAGAGTGACATACCTTAAACACACGCCTAGTGTTCCGAACTCATGAATACAGAGGACACCTGCTTACTTAGAGTAAATGCCATGAAAGGATGTTTGCCTTCCATGCTCCCACCCCCACCACATTGTCTGATAAGAAAAGACAGCTTCATAATGGTGCATCTGCCTACACATGCATGTTTTTCCAAATCTAATACCCCTTGGGTCTTAGTCCAGCCCTAAAATCTAATAACTATGTATCTTTGTCCTTTGGGCAGGTGAACTGCTATAATATAACAGCAAGAGAAAGCTTTGAAAAATCAAAGCCATATTAGTGGACATGAAAAATGGAGTAGTGAAATCTTTAAACAATTGATTATTAAAGAAATCAGTTCTCTATGGTTTTTGTAATAAATCCAATAACATTTTTTGGTGCAAATTTATATAATTTAACTTAATATCAAGAACAGTGTTTATTCTTTAGGAACACGCCAATATGGATGGGTACAGGGCAGGAGCCGAAGGTGTACTTACTGGTGATAAAAAGCAAACATGGGTTGAAATGTCTAAAAGGTGGCTAATCCAGCTGTAAATAATGGAAAATTTTTGCTATATAAGCATTTTTTTAAATTTCTTGGCTGTAATTTAAAGCATAGTGGTTCTCTCATCTTGAACTACGGAAAACATTCCTTGGGTACTCAGAATATCCTCAAAACAATATCTGTAAATTAAGTCAGATGTGCTTCCTAAATCTCAGGTCCAAGAAAAAAACCCAGAGATGTAGGAATGAGACCTGGAGGCAAAGGATTTGTTCTGAAGACAGGGAAACTGCTGAGCGCCGGAGGCCAGGGCCAAAATACTGGTTCGAGGGTAACTAGATGCCAACATTGTGGTGTGTATTTAATTAATGAATCTGTGATGGTAACCATACACATTGTTTTTAACTATGAAATCATTTTCGATTCTAGGCCAGAAAGAAAACTATTTAGAAAATAACTCCTATACTTTTATTTAACATAAAACAATTTCAAATGGAAAAGGAATTATCTTTTGGGGTTATATTTTTATTTTTCCTTCCAAAACCATAGACTGTAAATTCTTATGTTTTGGTGCTTACAAAGACAGAATATATACATGGTCTTATAATTTGAGGCCAGCTATATATATATACAACCAAATTTCTTGTGAGTTAAGTAATGACATGTTACTTAGTAAGCTGTTATTTAATAACATGGGTACCTCTGATAGGGATATTGTTAAATATGCTTCAGAAAAAGGTTAGCATGTTTTCTTTCTTTAAAACTGAACAGGATATTAAAATGAAAGTTTTATATTTTTATTTTTATTTATTTTTTAAATTTTTTTAAAGATTTTATTTATTTATTTGACAGACAGAGACACAGCGAGAGAGGGAACACAAGCAGCGGGAGTGGGAGAGGGAGAAGCAGGGAGCCCGATGCGGGGCTCGATTCCAGGACCTGAGCCGAAGGCAGATGCTTAAAGGCTGAGCCACCCAGGCACCCCTGTATTTTTTAAATGAGGCACAGAGATAGCAAATCCCAAGGAAAGTACAGATGTTTCTACTACCACACAATATATAATTCCTGGAAAGTCTCTGTTCTGAAACACTACACACTAAAAATAACATGGTTTGTGGGACAAATAGTGTTGGGGCAGATTACACAGAACCCGTGCAACTTTATAACCAGAGCGTAAAGCAGACTGAAGATTCGTGCATCTGGAGGTAACCTGGACAGTTCAGGCTGGCCAGTCTGGAGGCCCTTCGAGAATAGTCAAGACACACAAAACAAGGGAGTGGAAACGCTGGTTTGTGGGGGCCCAGAGACAACGCGGATGGGACTGGATCACCGAGATGGCGGGGCTGCTTAGGCGGGCACCGAAGGAAGAGCAACCTCCTCGGAGCCTAAAGTGAGCAGTCCAAAGCAAGGGAGCACGCCTCAGGTGCAAGTGACCATTTTCCACATTCTTGCAATAGGACAGAGAGGGTGCGTGAGCAAAAGCCAAGGGGAGGGATTTTTTTTCTCTTGCTGAAACTCAAAATTCAACTCCCATAATTTTGGTACCTTACCCGAGAATGTGTGTAGGAAATACAATTTTACACTTATGCTGTCATTCAAGCACCAAGCACACATGAACTAATTCATATTAAACAATCACGTGCTTTAGCAATCTGTATGAGACTGTATGCAGAATTTATAATGAGGTTACTGAACTTGTTGTATAACTCTTTTTTATAAAAAGATTATTATTTATTTATTTGACAGAGAGACAGATAGTGAGAGCAGGAACACAAGCAGGGGGAGCGGGAGAGGGAGAAGCAGGCTTCCCGCTGAGCAGGGAGACCCATGTGGGGCTCGATCCCAGGACCCTGGGATCATGACCTGAGCCGAAGGCAGACACTTAACGGCTGAGCCACCCAGGCGCGCCTGGTTGTATAACTCTCAACCCCTCACCCCACACTGAGATGTTTAGGGAGAGGTGAGATCCTGTTCCCTGTCATCTCAAGTAAGAGAGGAACATGAAGTCCCTACGTGTGTCTCCTGTAGTGAAGGGGGGTGGGAGGGGCCACAGTGGTCTCATGTCTAATATCTGTCTGAAAAATCTAAAAGGCAAGACCCAGGCTAACTAGCCACTCTGACTTTGGCAGCAAAGGAGAGGTTACTACTTGCATTCTCTGAGTTTTGGAGGCGTGGGGTTGATTTCTGCCCTGTCCTTTTCAAGAGGACCGCAAAGAAGGCTAAAGAACCTTAGCAGCAAGGAGCTCAAAGTGAGCAATCCGATTTTCAGGAGCTGAGGAAGGAGCCATAAATAAAGCAGACAGAGATGATCATTCACATTAAAGAAACATCTGGTAGAAAAACCCCATAAGGAGGGAGCTTGGCAGAGATCATGAACTTACCCACAAGAAAATAATTTGGTTTAAACATCTACCAGGCCTAAAGAGTGAGATACTCCTAATAGCACCAGTCTGTTGAGAATGTTCTTGCCTGTTTTCTTACCCATTTCCCCTTCCTACTCTCCAAGTCCGGAAGGGTAGGAAACTACATGGGGGTTTGGGAATGAGGAAGGAGTTAGAAAAAACACAAGGTAGGGATGAAAGAAGCCAACCAGAGTAGAAAGGGGAGAACCTGAAACTTTAAACCAAGTCCAGAATCCGGACTATTAACACAGGACTGGACATTTTGGTTTCTAAATTGAGACCTGTATACTATATTTTGGGACTTAAGGTAATTAGAAGGCTTTTACTTAAAAAGAATGACCAGAAAATGGGGTGCCTGGGTGGTTCAGTCTGTTGAGTGTCCGACTCTTGATTTTGGCTCAGGTCATGAACTCGGGGTCATGGGATCAAGCCCTGCATTGGGCTAGCGCTGGGCATGGAGTCTGCTTAAGATTCTCTCTCCCTGGGACGCCTGGGTGACTCAGTCGGGTAGTATCTGCCTTTGGCTCAGGTCATGATGCTGGAGTCTCGGGATCGAGCCCCACATCGGGTTCCGTGCTCGGTGGGGAGTCTGCTTCTCCCTCTCCCCATACCCTACACGTGTTCTCTCTCTCTCTCTCAAATAAATAAATAAAATCTCAAAAAAAAAAAAAAAGATTCTCTCTCCCTCTACCCCCCCACCCCCCCACATGTGCATGTGCTCTTTCTCTTAAAAAAAAAAAAAAAAAAAAAAAAAAAAAAAAAAAAATGAAAGAAAGAAGAGTGACCAGACAAGTTATAGGCCTCCCAAGTTTTGTTTTAGGGCTCAGAGAAAAACTCGTCCCAGCAAGCAAGCATAAAAAGATGGAGGTAAAATTCCTTTAAGATTATATACCATGCATTGTGCCTCTTCCACATAATAGTTACAACTTTCACTTTTTTCTTACATAAAGGTAATACATGCATATAGCAGATAGTGTGAATAATGAACAAATCAAAATGAGAACATAAAAAGTATTAACAATTTAACTATACAAAGACAACCTTTGTTAACGTTTTGGTGTACATTATTTTACTTCCCTTCACATAAATTTGTCTAGCGTAGCATATCATATGCTTTTTCACACTGATAAATATTCATTTAACCGAACTGTTGAATAGCTCTATTCCTTAACGCAACAGTTTGTGAGTGGCCAGAAGATTCAAAAAAAGAGGAACAGGCTTGGTTTTGTGAAAGCAAACCTTTGAAAGAGCTGTATAAGCCACTTCGTTTGACAAGAAAAAAAGGAAAATTAACTGCGAGCCATAAAATACTAGTTTTGTTTGTTTCTAGTTTGCAAAAACCAAATAGAGGTGAGGAACCAGATACCCTTTATCAGGCAACATTTAGACAGTCTTGGTTGTCTAGAGAAGCGAGGCTGGGAAGATTTTAAATGTTCTGGCTTTGCCTTCCTTACCCAAAAAGGAATAAAGCATGCTCAAGAATTTATGGTGCTGGGAATAAATCCAAAACTTAAAAATAAAACTGAATTTATAAAGCTCTCTTTTAAAATCGCACAACCATAAAGTAGGTACTTACTGGACTATTAAGAATCATCAGGCACTGGTCAAAATGATGATGCTCCATGATTGAATGGCAGTAGAGTTGAGCAAGTGGGTGTTCACTTCTGAAAAATATTTTGTTGATAGAAAAACAGTTTAAAAATTACCCATTTCCCCCACATATCAGTTTTTTTCCTGTCTTCTTAATGCTAGTTAATGAAAAAAGAGGCTACTGCACAAAATTAACCAAACTAATAATTTTCTCTTCTTTGGCTGAGGAAAACAGTGAGTTAATCTCTGGGGAAGACAGAGTCAAGTTGTTTTCAAATACCAGTGTAACTGGGACCAGTTCAAAGTACGAACGATTTCACTGGTTTTAATATTGATAAAATAGTAGAAGGAATGAGGACAAAGGACTAATTCCTCTAAACATGAAAAAAAATCTCTGAAGTACTTGTAACCATTATATTTTCCAATTTCAAAACTGCAATTAATTTAAAATCCAAAACAAATGTCGAGCCAGTCTTTCCTCTGAAATAAGGCTGAAGGTGAGTGTAGTCACGCGTGCCTACATCCCCAAAAAGACTGGACTGAGATGGATTGATCAGGCGCGAGTGCTGAAAGGCACAGAAAAGGGGTATAGTCGGTGCACATCCCCCTTTGAAGGGAGGAAGCAGACAGCTGAGTCAGAACAAGTGCCCCATGTGGAATCCAAGTTATTTCAGTGTAGGATATCCCGCGAACTCGTTAATTTGAACTTGGGGAAAATGGTAGAGACCATTTAGCTGAGTGAAGGGAAGGATACTCTACTCAGTTCATTATATGTAACGGGGCAGTCACAAATCAAGTTCTAAAGCATGACAAGCACAGTCCTCCGCCTCATCTTCTCATGACCCTTCACGTGTGAATATGAAGCACCATTTTCACTATTTTTTTCTTTAAAGAAAAAGTTAGAGTTCCTGCAAGTCTCTGTTTCTCAAATTTACGAATTGTAAAGTACAACACAAGTGTTTGATAATACAGTTGACTTGTTATTTCTTTATACTACTATATGAATCGATAATTTACGTATCATTTACTTTGAAGATAGAGAAGCTGCCCAACACTAAAAGAACGGAATACAGGAAGAAACTGAGTAGAGTAAGAGATGCTTAAGGGAAAACAGAAACAATAAAAGGGAAATAAAGGTAAGAAAATGGGGAATCTCATCTATTCCTGTTTAATCTCCCACTGATACTGCTGGCCCCCAAATCTCCATTTTTTTGTGCTGTTGTAACTTTTCCCAAGTTAACTCCTGCCTGTCTTCTTTGCTCCTTCCATGTTTAGTGAGTTGTATGATGGACCAGATACTGTGCTTAACATCGGACAACGGGAAGACAATGGATGGAGTAAAATGAGAAGATTTATTAAGAAAAAAAAAGATAAATTTGCTGGAATCAAAACTGGAGACTACTGGAAGTTAGTTAGGAGACCGCTGGGAAGATAGTAGTCCCAGTTCTGGTAACGTCGGTACGAGACAGCCCGGAGTCGGGTGACGGAATCCCGCCTATGGAGAAGCAGTTATTCGAAAACTATTTAGAAGGTAGGAGTTGGCAATGAATCCCGAGGTGGGGACCCAGCAGGGATATTCCTGGGGGGAAAGTATGCATGCCAAGTGTATGCCCTGTCATATACCGACAGAGAAAAAATGGGAGAGAATGATTAGGGATGGGAGGTGAAGGAGGGAAGATGTCTAGTTGAGTGTTGGATCTGTTGATTTTAAGGTGCCCGAGGTCCACCAAGTGTTTAATATAAACATCTGTACTCGGGTCTGGGCTGGAGATGCAGGCTTGGAACACATCAACTGTACACGGTACTAATCCACGCCACGCGTAGTTGAGGCACTGCTGAGTACTGGAGGGCCCAGGGCAAACAGCATGACGGCCTCCCTCTGCCTTCTGCCTTGTAGTCTATGTTCTCTACTTTGGCCAGCCCCTTTTCTCACCATTTGGACTAGCTATGCTAAAGTCAACTTCAACATGACAATTGCAGCCTTTCCCCATTCCCTTCACTTCTAGAGTATCTGTTTATTTTCATTTACGCAAGAACTTCAAGGACATATGGTATTAGTTTAATGTCCATTTTGTTCTGCCAGTCGTTAGCCGTTTATACGTCTATTACCTTGTTAGACTGTAAACCTCCTGAGCTTGGTAGGATCTGTTTTCCCTAATGATAATAATTACCATTTCCTGAGAGCCTCAAACATGTCAGGTGCTGTGCTAAGTAGTTTATATTTAATCTTTATTTAATATGGGACATTTCCATTCTCCACATCAAAATCCTCAGCCCACCTCTGACTCCAGCGAACTGATGCAGCGTTGAGTTTCCTGTGCGATTTAACAGACTCCCTGCAGGGGTCAATTAGAAGGTGCTTTGCCGCTCACTGGCCTAGTTAGAAGCTGGCCCAGAAATGCGATTAGGCAGACGCAACACGAACACGCCTAAAATGTCGAACGCACTTTACATTTTTAGACAATGCAGAAAGGACTGTTTCATATTAGAAAAACTTCTCGGGCTGTGGGATAGATGAATGCAAATTATGTGTGTTTGCCTTTACTTATGTTCTAAAAATACGGATTTATGAATCAATAAAAGGGTGACAAATGCCCCAAGTTTCCTGTTTACAAAAATACTCGTGGACACCAATGTATTCTACATTCCGTTGTTTTTTACTCTTTCAAACACAAGGCTGTGTTGCTTCTTTCTATGACATCCTGTCCGAGGGACCCGTGTAGGTCACTACTGCCACCGAATTTTATGCCCACACTGAAGTCAGCGAGCAGTACGGATGGGACACCCTCCTGCGTTTTCCTCTTGTCCTGCAGTTGTCTGTCCATCTCTGAGAGTGGCGTCAGGATGCCAGTGCCCAAATCAGAATGACGTTCTAGAAATAGAAAGCCTCAGAAATCAATAGAAAATGTAAGCTCTGGGAGAAAAACAATGCTTGCTGCCCTAGGATTCCTTTTTACAGACTCTTAACAACCATCCTTGATCCTGCTTCTCACCCACGCAAATGGCTCTGGGCTCAGACCTCTTAACTAGTCTTCTTCATAAGCCACGTCAACCCCACTGAATTCTTTCTCTCCAAAGCATCACTGCTGTATTCGAGCAGCCGGGGGTTATTTTACCTTCGCGTTCTCCGTGATCACATTAGATGCCACAGATGTTCAAGCTGATGATGCATTTGACCTCTGACCCTAGTTCTCTGACCGCCTTGACCCTACTGATAGTCTCTTTTCCCGTCAACAATACGTACACCTTTCTTTGTTCCGCAGCTGCTAGGTGCTGCTAGATGCAGTATTTTTGCTGCTGCCTGCTCCATGTCCCACCATGGCACAAAGCAAGATCTTGAATTCCTATTATGTCCTTAATAGTATCCCCCTTTGAAAATGCTAAAACCAGGGTGCCTGGGTGGCTCAGTTGGTTAAGCATCTGCCTTTGGCTCGGGTCATGATCTCAGGGTCCTGGGATCGAGTCCCGCTTTGGGCTCCTTGCTCAGCAGGGAGCCTGCTTCTCTCTCTGCCTCTGCCCCTCCCCCTGCTTGTGCGCGTGCACTCTTGCTCTATCTCTCACTCTCTTTCTCTCAAATAAACAAAATCTTTAAAAAAAAGGAAAGAAAATGATAAAAACTGGAGAGCATTTACTCTGTGCTGGGTACTGTTCCAAGTCCTTTACATTTATTTATACTCCTTAATCCTTGTTAAAACAAAGCAAAACAAACTGCAAGGGAGATGCTGTCATTGTTCCATTGCACAGAGAAGGAAATAGAGAGAGGATGTTAAATGACTCGCTCAAGATCAAATGGAGTCGGTATTTGCTTGTGCACCCAGGTATCTGGCTCAAGTTGGTCCTTAGCCACTGTAACCACCATAGCCCCTGAGGGGTGGTCTAAGGATTAACTGAACTCGTATATAGATATAAAGTACTAAAAAGAGTTCCCAGTGCCACATGGTTAAGAGCCATATGAAGTGTTCACTTCTATTATTATTATTATTATTAGCTAGTGACATTAGGACTCCTTGAACATGCACTTTTTGCATATTGAGAGACTCCAGCCTCTCAAGCCCTCCATCCTAATCGGGAATGATCTCATTCCTAGCTAATATAGACTCTACCCAGTTGAACTTCACAAACTGTGATTCCTGTGCTGTCTCTCCTGTCCTGTTGAGGCCCTCAGAGCCTGCTGCCCATCTACTGTCACCGTGCCAGGCCAGGACTCCAGCTCATTGCTGTTCTAGTAAGCGGGGAAGACCAGGGTACAGACCCAGGACAGAGACGTGGTCTGATTATGGTTACCAGAAAATTCTTTTATTCTGATTTTATGGGAACTTGAAAAAAAAAACGTTCCTTTAATTATTTTACTTCTTCTAAGTACCATCGTATTTATTATTTTCTCCTCATTGCCAACACTCCTCTCCCTTCTGTCTTTCTCGTCCCTTCCTCTCTAAGTACACACACACACACACACACACACACACACACACACACACACACTTCCCAGTTCCTCCATTTTTGTCAATGGCTCCATCGCTGTTTCAGTTTCTTGGGCCACGAGACATGATTTCCCCCTTCCTTCATGCATATAAGCATCAGTTTAATATTAAATGGAAAAACTTTCTCCCTCCATCTCTTCCTCTCTGTAACCAGTATGTGATGGTCACCACGTACATGGCTGTTCTAACAGCTTCCTAGCCGAACTCTGTGCTTCTAATTATTACCCACTGCACCTTGTATTTGACTTTCAGTCTTTCCTTCCTCAACAAGGTCTTTATTACCCACTGCAGTGGCTCCTCGTTTCTTCACTCTACCACATCTCAAGCTCGCTGATTAGTTTTATAGCTCTCCCTCCAAGGGGCTTCTACCTCTACTTCTTCACCCTCTTACTCTCCATCCCAAGTCAGTGAGCCTTTGGATTCTGCACGGGCCAGCCAGCCATCGCTGGTCTGTGAGAATGCCCACCCACCTCAGACTGTTTCTGGGATAACTTCATTCTCTCGCCTCTCCAAATCCTACCCACTTCTTAGGATCCACTTTGTCCGTTAACAGTGGAGTCTTGACCCATCTCCTCTGGCAAACACTTACAGTCCACATTACTAAACAACTCAGGACTTACTGGGTATTTTCTTATATTGGTCACCAACTGTTTCATGAGACTACGAAAATTACTTAATAACAGGAACCACATTTTATACTCTATAGCTCTCTTTCTGCCTAACAAAGTGCTGGGCCCTAGTAATTGCCCATTAGCCAGCTGCCTAAAATGTAGGACACTTTCATTCTCTTCTTTTATAAAATACCAAACTTGAATCTAACCAAATAAATGCATCCATGACAGTCTTCTTATATTGACTGCAGGCCTAATGCAAGAGGTTTCTCAACATGAGCCGAGAGTCACACTGTGCTTTCTCTAGTGGATGTCTGTGACATTTTGTCCCCATTACTGTCTGTTTTTAAAATAATACTTTAATATCTATCTGAAACCACTCTTTGTTTTACCCACCCAAATGGGAGAAGAAAGCACAACAGTGAACTCTCTCTCCAAATATTTCACTGACACACTTGCAGTACTCCTCATAATGACAGTTTTCCTAATCAAGGAAGCCATCAAAGGACCAAATAATGGATCAAAACATGGTTTCCTATACATCTTACTTCAAATTAATTGTCTGAAAAGATGTTCAAGAAGAACGACTGATAGAAGTTCAGTTTCTAACTTTGCTACCACATGAGGGCTTTCATCTTTTTGATATATTAGTTTCATTTCTGTGCTTTCTCTGATTGTGATGGTTTTCTTCACGTAGTGTTTGAATGCGGACGAGGTTGGACACTGTATACCTTTTTACAAGTTAGCTCTTTATACGGGAATGTGTATGGTACTCTTACTCCCCCAAGAGTTCCCTAGTTAAGAAAATCCTCCTGAAGTTTTTTTTTTTTTTTTTTTTACACCACTAAGGAAAGAAAAAAAAAGAAACATCCCTGGAAAATTCTTGGTTTCCTCTACTCAAACCACAAAGATGTAGGAAGAAATAAAAATCTCCGAAACTCCTTTAACTTTTTTCTTAAAGTTACTTTTACTCGGTGGAAGTCTGCTTTGTGGTGTGTGTGAAGGCAAGATTCTGCAGTCTATGAATTTTTCCCAGGACTTTTTTTTTTTTTTGAAGAGAAGATGACGTTTCTCCAGATGTTTTTCCGGGTAATTATTTTTAAATAAACAAAGGAAAAATAGCTGAGTGTTTTTTTTTTTTTCACTCTAAAGCAGGGCAACATGGCATCTTGGAGCCAACCATACACTAATAATGTATGTTCAGCTTTGAGGTACGGAGGCAACATAGCACTGCCAGCTGGGTCTTTCGGCTACCCTCGACCCATGCTAAACATCTTTTCATGTCGTTGTTCCCTTTCATAATTACTCCTGTGTCAGTGTGAGGCTCGGGAGCATGATCGCGCGGCAGATCACAGAGGACAAAGGACATGGCATCCAGTCCATTCTCCAAAACATTTCCTCTTTAAGTTCAGATCTTAAAGAGGAAAGAGCCAGTCTCTGACATTCGGGCAAGAGCTCGCTACCTTTTCCCATCAGAGGTCAGCAGAGGACACGGCGGCCGCATCACTACAATTCTTGTTACATGAAGTTTTCCATTTATTTAGATAAAGGGAATGTGGTTCGAGAGCTCTCTGAAATTCCCTCAAGATATCAGACATCCGGAATTTCCTTAAGAGGTCTACCCATTAGTTGCATCACTTGCACACCTAAAAAAAATGCTCAGTAGTAAGAGATTTTGCCATTAAGACGTAGGCTTTTCAACTACGTTGCTACAAGTAAATAAAAACGTCCCAGTGGCTCAAAATCTGACGAAAAGTGATGTCACTTTTATCACCTCATTTGTCATTGCAAATGTCACTTAAGGATGGCCCGGGAGGGAGCCTGAAACACTTGTCTCAAGTTGGTATCTGCTCTGAAAATCAGCCAAAAAGCAGGCTTCTGATGTTGAGAGGACTATCACTAGCATCTGCTGCGAAGACTTAACACTGACATATGCACCGCGCATTCCATCGGGCATTGATCCATGTTCTCTCTTGAAACTGACATCAGCCCTATGAGGGAGGTAATAAGCTATTGTTTTCATTTTGCAGATCAGGAAATTGAAGGCACAGAGAAATAAGCTCCTTTGCCCAAGGTCACACGGGAACCGTGTGGCAAAGGTAGGGTTTGCATCCTGTCTGACTGCAGGCCCCAACTTGCGAACACTGCACTACACTGTCTTCACTAAGACCAAAAGCCTCCTTCCACTTCGTGCTCATTAAGTACTCAGGATCGAGCTAAGCACCTTTCAAATATTATCTTCTCTACTTCAGGGTAAAATTCTATCTTTTTTGAACTAGTCTTAATATACTGTTTTCTAATGCAGCTCTTAAGCTGGGTAGACATAAACTAAAGCAAAACTCTTGGTAATTATCTTGTGAAATAAGATTCTCAACACAAAGATTTTTTTGAACTTCAGGCCAGAAATGTTACCAATGTAATATTGGATTTTTTTTTTTCCCATTTCCCTTAAGTAAAACCAGAGTATGTTATGGGGCCTCAAGCAATTGAAATCTGGTACCATCAAATTTTGCTGCTTTTCTTTAAAAAAGACAGCCCTAGGGGCGCCTGGGCGGCTCAGTCAGTTAAGCGTCTGCCTTCAGCTCAAGTCATGATCTCAGGGTCCTGAGATCGAGCCCTGAGTTGGGTTCCCTGCTCAGCAGGGAGTCTGCTCCTCCCTCTCCCTCTGCCCCTCCCCACCGTTCCGTGCTCTCTCTCTTGCACGCTGCCGCTCGCTCGCTCTCTCTTCCAAATAAATAAATAAAATCTTAAAAAAATAAGTAAAAAAAATAAAATTAAAAAAAAACAGCGCTAGAATTTAAAAGAAACATTTTCTTCTTTAGCTGGGGAAAAGGCGCCTTACCGCTGTATGTAAGAGTTATTCACACCACGGTGGTCCAAGTCGTGGCTCAGAGCAGCAATCAGCAGGGCGAGTATCTCCAGGTCAGTCAACTTGCTCTGCATGACCAAAGACGTCAGTGGAAAGAAGGAGAAAGACAATTTGGTAAAGTTCGTTATTCTACCTCTTTTCACCGACCATGTGTTTGTTTTTCCGAGTGATTTTCACATGTGCTTCTTTATGGTTAGAAAGGACCCATGGGAGAATCCTTTCTGCAGGGCATCAGTGGTACTTTGTCTTCAGAAGGGAATGATTATGATAAATGTCATTTATCAACAGAAAAAGTTGAAGTGCCTCAAATAATCCATAATCTGTCCACCTACAGTAAATAGCATTAACTCTTCATTATCTACATATATGGGGAATCATCAAAATAAACTTTAACCAATTGTTGTCTCTCTGACTTCCAGTTGCCTGCAGATTCTGCTCCCCTCACTCTCTGCTGGTAGTTGCTAGATACTTCAGGAACAGAGACAATGTGAATATTAAGCAAAACAATACATAAAAAAGAGGATTAGAAATAAAAATCTGGCTTTAAAAAGTTGCACAATATGTTCCAAAGCCAAACAGAGGTTATTTTTGTAATATCTGCCATTTGTATTATTTATCCTGCTGGTCTCCTTCATCAGTAAGAAAACAAGTTGAAATCATTATCAGTTCCACTCTGCTGGAAACTCAACATTCTACATCATATGTTTATAACATCAGACAAAAATCATCATTTTGTTATTCTTCATAAAAAGCAAGGACAGTATTCAGCAGTATAATCCTGATGACATTTCCACAGCCCAAAATAAGTTGATCTTATTTTTTATAAATGTTTGCTATGGCAGGGAAATACTACTATGGTATTTCATATGGCCTCTTGGACAACAATCCCTTCTTTTAGCTCTAGCCAGTTAATATGTGCTCCCTATGGAAATAGAGACAGAGAATAACATTTTTAGAATTTACTTTTTTTTTTTTTTAAAAAAAAAGAGCATGGAAGCTCTGAATTAAAAACAGTTATATGATGGATGCCTGGAATCACTTACCTAGAATAACTAGTAGATTCCCACTGAAGTTAGAATCTAAGGACAGAGTTATGGATAAAATTTGGCCTGGAAAGGAACGAATTACTTGAACGTTTTCTGCATTGATCTTCCTTGTACACAGTCTCTGGTTAATGTATATGGTATTAAAACCGTTTCCATGAAATACTACTTATAAAATTTAACTGAGTGCTCCAGAGAAAATGCGATAGAGAACCCCGGCCTTATCTATGAAGCCACTTGAGTGGTTTTCGAGGAATTCTACTATGGAGCAAGTTGGATGGGAACAGGAGGAATTTGATACTTTTTCTTATACTGTAGAAATTTCCTCCAGAGGAAGTATTTGCCCAAAGACTATTAAATTTAACATGAAGTTATTTTAAGGATTTTTAAAAATATGCCATATATATTACACATGAAGGAAAATTAATAACTAAGTATTTTGCCATGCTAGTCTTCAATTAACAGGATGTCATTTATTTTGTAAGTGGCAACAAATATTAATCTAATCATCATTAGTGCACATTACACAAAAAAACCTGAAAGAATATGCTGTAAATTTTACTACCAAAGCAAGAAAAGGTCTTAAATATAAAAACAGCTCTAAAAAGTACCTGAATCTTGCCTGCTTTTAGAGCAGCAAACATGCACTGAGCTGTATTAAAGGCGTGTCTCCAATTATGATAAGCAACATTCTTCCGATAATTCTTCTTAACACTTAAAATCCACCTGCAAAGAACCTTTAGGAAAAAAAGCGTAAGTAGTAACAATACTTGCTAACATTTAGCACATATTTACTATGTTCTAGGAACTGTACAAAGCCTTTACCTCTAACCCTCAGGACTCTAAGGGAGGCACTACTACTCTGATAATTTTACAGATGAGGAAATGGACATTCAGAGTGGCAACTCTCCCAAGGTCACGTTGCTCGTAAAGGAAGGGGCTAAAATTCAAACTTGAGCAGCTGGACTTCAGAGCCCACCATGTTCACCACCATGCTAACTAAACAAGATGTAAAAGGCAAGAGAGCCTTAAGGAAGGTATTTTTGGCATGGGGTAGGGAGGGCACTGACTAGCTTTTTAAAAGATATTGTGTCCATGTGCCATCAATTAGGAGAATCCAAACAGTCAACTATGTATGGATTCACTTTTAGAAAGTCATGGAAATAGCCACTCTCAAGTTCTTCTCATGCTCCCACTTTTTAGTTCTGCAAGGGTATAGGGTGCAAGTCTGAGCGGGTGGGTTGGGCACTGAGATACAGAACAAGTGGCCAAGCACAGAATGGAGCTCCCAAGTCCTGAGGCAGTAAGCAGGTCTTTTGTCCCTTTTAAACTACGCTTAAGTATTAAGAGTTACTGCTTGGTTACCAAGAAGTAATTTTTAAAAATATATATGCAAAATAAAGCCCTGGGGTCCCTATGAAAAAGATTTATTTTAAAAGATGGGAAAAAAAAGGAGACAGACTTCAGAAAATCTCAAAAGCTGGGTTTAATTCAACTTCTAAGGGGTGTATTCAATAAAGTCCCCAGAGACTCATGGGCTCTAAGCATAGTTATTTTTTGTTTGTGTTAGCATCAGAGTCTGCCTCTCTTTAATTCTGAATGATTTACTATACTTTGGAGGATCTGTAAAAATAAATATGTGCTTCTTCCTACGTATATCACTGGAGATACTTCAAACACAAACAGCATTGCCCTGGGGTATGGAAAAAGTACCAGGGAAAAGAATGTTGCTCTAACAATATTCAACACAGAATGACTGGCTGCAGAAGTAGGCCAAAAACAAGGTTTCTTCTTTGTTGGTAGAAATTGCTTATACAGGATTTGGTAGAAAATCAATGCTTTCATAACCCTCCTTTTCTTTTCAGGTCTTTTTGTTCCTGTTCTATAACACAGTTCACAGGGAATTCTGATAACAAGCAACCCGAATGTCCCTTAGCTCTTGCATCTCCAAGTCACTATTTAGCAGAGGATTTGTGTGTGCCTAAGACTGACATGCCTTAATCCCAAGTACAGTGCAGTTTCTTTCACCATAACCATTTCTGAACAAAATCAGCTGGAAAGCTGATAGTTTCATCTTACTGGCAGAATTTAAGTAAGAGCTCTAAACTTGCTTGGATATGCTTAGAAACTATCAAGTGTTATAGAAAATTACCGGTGATGAATTCAAGAATCAAGGAAAATAAGCAGGAAAACCCAGAAATTTAACCTATGGATATATCTCTTTACTAATCATAAATCTGTAGATATAATTAAATGTGCACATATATCATATAATGTTAAATAGTGACCAAAATGACTCCATGAAATATTAATTCCTGAAGGACTATTCTATTATGCTTCTAATAAGATGGGCGTAAGAGAACTGGGTAATCCAATGGATACAGTAGTTAGGAACTAGATTTAAGTACAGTTTTGGATTATATTATCAGGATAATCCTTTAAAAACTTTTTTTTTTAGTATAGTTAACACATAATGTTACATTAGTTTCAGGTGCACAACATAGTGATTCAACTTCTCTATATATCATGCCTTGCTCACCACAATTTTAACTACTATCTGTCACCATACAAGCTAATTACAGTATCATTGATTATATTCCCTATGCTGTGCCTTTTATTTCTGTGACTTATTCATTCCATAAGTGGAAGCCTGTATCTCCCATTCTTCTTCACCCATCTTGCCCATTCCCCCAACCCCCTCCTCTCTGGTAACCATCAGTTTGTTCCGTGTATTTATAGGTCTATCAGGATGTTAACAGCACTTAGGAAAATTACAGTCAGATCTGCTCAGTGCTTGGTGGATATGCCTGGCATGTTCAAATCTGCAATACAGTCTTTTGTATGGGACTGCTGAATAATTAGGTACAATGTGGATGACTCTAGGGAGCATGCTCAATACACTGATCAGTCTCCAACAATGACAAAGGCTTCCTATGTCCTGAGTGGCAGACTCAAGATGCTCTGGGAGAAAGAGAAGAGCCAGAAAACAGCTCAGTTTCTGCCCTCAAGAATCTCAATCAGGAGTGAAAATAATAAAAGTGCACATATAAAAGAAAGAAATAAAATCGAGACCACAAATTGTCAACAGTATTCCAAGTGGTATGAAGTCAAAACTAGGGTTCAGTCAGGCTCTGAGGACGAGAAAAGTGTGCTGTGGCAAGAAGTGGAGCAGTCTTGCAAGTGGGGCAGTCCATTCAGGAGATGAATGACATGTGAAAGACAGAAGGTGAAGATACGCACAGCACATGCAGATTTGTTCAAGTAGAGTCAAGAGTCTGTTTCATAGGTCAGCAAGAGCAATGGTTGCCATGTTTGTAGGAGAGTAACTCAAGATTTGGAAGCCAAGAAGAGACATGAAGATTTGACAGATCTTTCAGTAGGAAAGATTCTTTGTCGGGGCAGCTTCACGATGCCAACATCCTCTCCAGCAATAACATTTTAAAAATTTTATCACCCTAAAATTATACTGACAACTATATCTCAAATAAACACGACAGGAGAGTCACTAGGGCAGGAAGGCCAATCAGAATGACTGTGGTATTCAAGTTGATGTTAGCCGGAATCAGAATAGTAGTTATTCAAACAGAAAAGGAGAGTAAATGAACAAGACATTAAAGAAAAATACCTGCCTAATGAACAAAAATTCAAGAAAAGGGAAGAATAAAGATTGCTAAAGAAATTTTGAGTGACTGGGGCACCTGGGTGGCTCAGTCGGTTAAGTGTCTGCCTTCAGCTCAGGTCATGAGCCTCAAGTCTGGCTCCTGCTCAGCGGGGAGTCTGCTTCTCCCTCTCCTCTGCCCCTCCCCCAGCTTGTACGTGCACGTGCACTCTCTCAAATAAGTAAAATATTTAAAAAAAAAATTCTGAATGACTACTATCACATCCAACACTCACATGCTATCTGAAAACTTATAGGTTTTTAAGAAATAAGAAATAAATCAAGTTTTAAAAACTTCATAAATAGGTATAAGGATCAGATTCCTTTGTCCTGGCTGGGCTCTTTCAACAGAACATTACTAGTTTAACGTATGGGAAATCTCAGAATGGAAAGGGATTTGAAATGCTGTCTTGCTTTTTAAGGTCATGCAACCAGCAAGAAGCTGAACTGAGTTTCACATTGAGAACTGGCTCTAAATGAGGTCTTTAGTCCATTAATAGAAAAACCTTTTAAAAATGAGCCCTGTAACCTACAGTAGAGAAACATGATAGGGTGATACAATAAGGAGCAAAACGTCATAGGAGACAGGGGTATACCTATATCCACATGTGTACATACAGTCACATCAATGCGTGTGTCATTCTTACAAGACTCCCACTGGGGAAGTCATAACAGACTGTGAAATGGAGAATTTGAGAGACGAATCGCTTAAGGAAATAAGAGCTAATGACTAGTAGAGCTATAACTTAAAACCCATGATCTTCCTACTCTTCTCACGCTATCTGAATTTCAAAGAGGGCCAGTAATAACCAGAGAAGCGTTCTTGAGAGCTTCTTGAAATAATCAAGTAACATGATGTCCTTTAATCAACATGGTTCTAAGAAGAGTGAAGTATTATTAGAGTCCATAGACAGTCGTTCTTTGTTTTCACCCAAGAGTCATATAAACTTTGGCTGTATTTAAGAAAGAATACCCCAAGAATGCCATCAATGGCACTGTATTAACCTAGCTATATTAGCCCTTCCTTTTCGTTCCTAACTGGAAGGCTTTTGAGAGCAGGGACAACTCTTTGCTGAAATGAAGGCTTAGCATGGTGCCTGGTACACTGTATGTATTAATAAAGTTTCATTTTATGAATTTGTGGATTGCTAAATAGTAGAGGCCTCCAAGGTATTTAAATTTCCAGACAGGAAATCTGTATAAGAAGACTAGAAATTTGATTGACCAAAAAAAAAATTAACTCTAAAGGCAAATTACTACATTTTTCCCCCCAAACAATCCTTTCTCTTCTCCCTTATTCTTTGATGCTATACATAGCTATTCCCTGGTATCTCCAGACGGGTATTAGAAGATACTGATCGAAGCCCTGCTGTTTTCTGAGAGGTGAATAAGGTAATCAACAGGGGTTAAAATCAGTTTTCATCTTCCCCCCCAATAGGGGTAACCCCTGTTCAAACCACAAGCTTGGCCTCATATCAAGTGCCTGTACTCCCTCATTTCCAAAGGAGTTCACTTTGTTTTGGTCCTTCTCAGTACTGTGTTATCATAACCTCTGTGATCGGATCAAGTTACTTCCGTGTTTACAACTCCTTAGTGACTCACCATTGTTTTCAGGATAAAATCCAAATTCTTCTGAATAGCCTACAGGGTTATATCCAATTTGCTTCTTACCTTCCTCTCCAAGTTGCTTCCCTTACCACCCTCCCTCCCTCCCTCCGCCAGGGCTCTGCAGCCCCAGCCCCACTCTCTCATTCTGCCTTTGCATACACCCTGCTCCCACTGTTGGGAGTACTCTCCCCTGTTCTTCAACTTGGTGCTTGGCAAATAGTAAGAACCCAACAAATGTCTTTTTAGGTTGATCATTTTTCTTTAAAAATCTCAGGTAGGCATTAGGTGACAGTAATATTGATTAATTCTCTCTCTCACACACACACACACACACACACACACACCCTCTCTCCTTCTCTCCTCCAAAGGACAGGACTGTATTCCTACCTCATGTTTCATCTGGAAGTTCTGCACAAGGTTGAGGTCAGTGAACATCCGAATTGTGCACAGTGCCGTTTCTAGGTCAGACAGCTCAAAGTCACTGAAGCTGAAGTCAGTAATTTTAAGCGTCTGAGCAGATGGTACCACAGCAGCCTTAGGTAAAGAGAGAAGAACAAAATGAGGTAGAGCTGTGAATTTTATATAGCAGCAGTGATTCACAAAGTTTTCTCACTTTACTACAGGGAAATAGCTCATCGTGTTTCTTTTTAATGTACGCCCTAGAAATCTCTTGATAAAGGAGCTACTTCTGGTTTTGTTTGTTTGTTTTTTTTTTAAATGAGTCACTTGGGGGGTAACTAATATGGTTCCAGGTAGGTTAGGTGGAGGAGAGATGGTGGCTGCCCGGAGATTGTACCTAGAACAGTGAGCAGAACTAAGGACTCCAGGGATCTGGCCCCTGATACCTCCCCAGTCTTAGTCATTCAACAGATATTTATTGAGTAATTATTCTGGACCTATCCCAGTACTATGGGCTGGGGATCAAGTGGCGAGCAGGATAGTGATAATGTTCTAACTATTTTCTGCTTAATTGGCAAGACAATCTTATTAAGCGGATACTCTAGCTCTATTTTTCAGGTGCAGAAGCGTAAGCACAAAGAGGCTAGCTGCCTTGCCCAGAGTAGCCCAGCTGGTTAATCCAGGCAGACTATCCTATTTTCAGATTTGACACAATCTCTACTGTGGAGATGAACAGAACGCACTTCACCCAAGCCTGATAGTAAGACTCACCTAGGGTGCCCATTAAAAAAAACTCAGTGATTCTGATTCAGTAAATCTGAGATGGGTCTTGAGAAGCCAGTTTTGTTTTCTGGAGGGGAATCTGTCTTTTAATTAATATCCTTGGTTTTGATAATCATTTAATTGTAGTAAATAATTGCAATTTCTTCAAATATACCTTGCTCCCTTTCGTCACTGTTCATTTGTACCTCCTACAAAGCACCTACTCTCTTTAATAGATGGACTTCTTTAAGGCACAGCTCACATCCAAAGAAAGGTTAAATGCCCTTCAGTGTGGACCCCTCCTTGGGAATATCTGTTTAATTACAGGAAGTTCACTGTAATGTAATTTCCTGTTTATCTGTCTCCTAAGTCCCCGGGGATCTATAGGCAGGACTGTATCTTACACATCCCTGTACCCATCGTGGCTACTGATGGATACAGCTTTGAAAACTGTTAACATGAACATTTATTAAATGAGTGAGAGGGGAAAATCCTATTCCCTTCACCTAATATAAGTCATAAGTTCCAGTTTTAAGGTCCCAAAACCACCAAGGACCATGAACCTGAGTTGGAAAACTAGCAGACCTGGCAAGTGCATTCCAATCTGTTATACTGTTTAAAAATTGGGAGATTTTAACAACAACAACAACAAAGAAGGATTTCTGGCTTCTGAGAAATCAGGCCACTCTGAGCCCCAATTCTCATGAAGCAAGACTGGCCGAGGCCAAGGTGCCTGGCTCCCTCGGACTGCGCAGGGCTATCAGGCTTCTCTCTTAGATTTCCTGCCTGGGGGCGGGGGGGGGCGGTGGGCATCAGAACTTGCAGGAACCGCCCCCCCCTTGACTGTTTTCCTTGCCAGCCCTTCAACTGCTTTAGCCAGATTGGGCTGCGATTCACCTGATGAAAAGAGGTTTTAACTTGGTGCCAGGCAGAGGGAAAACAAATTAGGAAATCTGAACCCGGCTCCTTCCATTTAATGTCTTTTCCTTGACTCCCTCCAAACCCCTTAATTTTCCTAGGAGCGTCTAGGATATCACTAGTCTGCTTTACCTCCATCATTTCCGAAGCAAAAAGGCCAAAGGAATAAAATCTGATGGAGCAATCCACTGGCTCCCCCTACCAATCTTGGGGCGCTTGCCCATTCTCCTGCTCTCTTGACCTTCCCATTGTACTTACATATATCGGACACATTTAAACTTTAATTTGATGTCACCCTCTTCATAGTCCAGACTAAGACTCTTTTCCCAAGCCCAACGGGCACGAGGAAATAGGCATTCTGTTAAGACAGTTCCACAGGCTACTGCGTGGGCTGGAACAGGGGAAGAGAGGAGAACTGGACTTGTTTAGATAAGGGGCTCCATTGCTTACAGTGGCCTCCGACAGCAGGGAGGGCAGCAGTCAACTGCAGTGCAAGCCCCCAGTGCGGAGGGGGGAATGAGCCCACCTTGTAACTCAAAGCAGACTGCAGCTGCTTCCCTGACGCAGGCTGCACTCTATCAGACAACAGATGCTTTTTTTTCCTTAGGGCATCGTTATTCTTACAGAAGTTTTCTTTCTTTCCTTCCACAAAGGATATTCTAGACGCTAAGGGATGGGATAATGACGGCCAACACAGCTTGCGCCTCTCTCCTTGGACACTCAAATCCCCAACCTCTCTACGGAGGGAAGACAGTCTTTTCTTGTGTGTGTTCGGTCACCCTGCACTGCAACATAGCCTTTTGGAGCTGACCCTGTGGGGACGGGCAAACGTTTTCCTTCCGAACCTCGTGCTCAGTGATACAGAGGTTCAGAATTCTCGCTTTACAAAATCTTTAAAAATATGTTATTTCTGGGGCGCCTTGGTGGCTCAGTCGGTTAAGCGTCTGCCTTCGGCTCAGGTCATGATCCCAGGGTCCTGGGATTGAGTCCCGCATTGGGCTCCCTGCTCAGTGGAAAGGCTGCTTCTCCCTCTTCCACTCCCCCTGTTTGTGTTCCTGCTCTCGCTATCTCTCTCTCCATCAAATAAATAAATAAAATCCTAAAAAAAAAAAAGATTTTGTAAAGCGATAAGGTGCTATAAATGTGTATGTGTACTATGGTTGAATAATCCAATTCAACTCTGCTATCATCGAATCCCACAGAACACTGCTTATTCCTCTACAAGAGAGCATAATGCCTCTGAGTCCTCAGGCAACAGCGTTTAGATATTTTATCGCTTAATTCAAATATAGTTAAGCTCTTCTATAGTTGGGAGTTTGTGTCTCATTAACCAAATATGGAATGCCAAAAGTACATGAAGCTCAATGGGTTAAAGATTCAATCTGGCAAACAGGTCAGTAGTAGAATCTCATTTTTCTTCTGAGTTCTGTAATTGGATCTGCCACTTAAACTAATGAAGAAACTAGTTTAGCTTCCAGGACACTTTAGAGGAAATTCTTCATCTAAGGCACCTTTTTATGACCCTTTATTTCTAATGCTTTGGCCCGTTTTCACCGTTTTTGCAAAATTTTTTAAAAAACACAACTGACCCCGGAAGTGAAATTCACTAAGGGTGGAACTAAACATATCCTTGGGAGTAGGACTGGATTGGATTAAAGGAAGCAGTATTCAGAGTTTTTAAAATATTTTAATCTCTTAGTGTTCTTAACTCGGAAACAGTTTTTCTGAATATCATCTGACTGATAAGGAGCTAAATATTAAATTGATCATAATTAGCTAGATTAACTACCACATTCACGTTTCAGCATTAGATAATGATCATAAAAAGTAACTTTAAAGCAAAGTGAAGCACATGGTAAAAAGGTATGTTTGCAGGGCGCCTGGGTGGCTCAGTCCTTTAAATGGACGACTTGACTTTGGCTCAGGTCTTGATCTCAAAGTCATGAGATCAAGCCCCATGTTGGGCTCCAACCTCAGCGAGGAATCTGCTTGTCCTTGTCCCTCTCCCTCCCCCTCAGCCCCTCCTGCCGCTCTCTCTCTCAAATAAATAAATAAAATCTTAAAAAAAAAAAGGTAGGTTTGCTATTAAGGGTTCTGGTCCCATTGTTCCACTGACTTTATTCACCCTCGACAAGGCGTCCAACCTCTCTATTTTCTCCCCTGTAAAATGAGGGGGTTGGGTTAGAGTGTCTCTGAGGCTTAATATTCTGAACATATAGTATATTTATCTCTCTGGCCACAGGACTCCAGGATCTCTTATTGCCTTCTCACTTTGGAACAAAATACCACCCTGTAGGTAGCATCTGATTCTTACCAGTGACTTTCCTATACAGGGCTCAATCTCTGTCTGGGACCCTCTCCTCAGTGAAGGGAAATGGATGGGTGCACCTTAGATGTTAGGTTATGTTGTATTTTTCAAGCTTGATTCCACATTCATGTCATTGTCAGGCTTCCTCACACATGAGAGAAGAGGTATTCCATCACTCTTGGCTAAACAGAGGACCACAGCCTCTGCGTGCGTGTAGCGGAGGATTAGACTGGGTATGTGGTAGCACCTCTACTTACTGCATTAATGCTCTAAATGAAAATTTGCGTTTCCTGAAATTGCCATTTGTATTTTTGTGGGGGAGGCTTTGGGAGGAGCTCGGTACTTTTGTCGTTTGTGTTTTAGGTTAATTATTACTCTTTCTCACTTCCAGGCCTCTTTAACCGTTTTTCCTCTGCCTAGAATGCATCCCCCCAAGTTTTCCTATAGCTAGTTCTTCTCTCATCTTTCCCAGCTGCACCAGGGAAACATTCACCAGTGTATCCCTTTGGTAGATACTATAGCAAGGCTCCATTAGCATCCATTTCAACCTTTCGCTGGTGACCCTTCATTTTTTGAAGAGTCTAGAAAGCTCAAAAGTATATTTCTCTGACTCCCTCGCAGCTAGGGTTCCGGATTGATTTTGGTTTCTTCAGTGAGGGACAAGCATACTTCGTTTTACCGCACTTTGCAGATGCTTTGCATTGTTATTTTAACCAATGGAAGATTTATGGTAACTGCATCAAGAAGTCTATCAGCACCATTTTTCCAAAAGCATTTGCTCACTTTGTGTCTCTATGTCACATATATTAAACTTTTTCATTATTATTATATTTGCTCTGGTGATCTGTGATAAGGGATCTTTGATGTTACTACTGGAACTATTTTGGGACACCACACACTGTGTCCATATAAGACAGTAAACTTAATCGGTAAATGTTGTGTGTGTTCTGCAGCTCCACCGACCCACTGTTCCACCATCTCTCCCTCTCCTCGGGCCTCCCTATTCCCAGAGACACAACAATATTGAAGTCAGGCCAATCAATAATCCTGCAATGGCCTCTAAGTGTTCAAATGAAGGAAGAGTTGTACATCTCTCACTTTAAATCAAAAGGTAGAAATGATGGAGCTTAGTGAGAAAGGCATGTCG